AAAAGTAAATAAGAAAAGAATAAAAAAAAACATTAAAGTTCTAAAAAAATTTTAATTTGTAAGATCACGATCTATTGTTCAAGTAGATAAGACGTTGGACACTTCGTTTCAACAATCCACTATTAGATTTTGGTTTATAATAGCATGTTCTATTATGGTTTTTTTTTTACTTTTACCAAACAATTTAATAAATAGTCCTATTTGTTTATCTATTTCATATCATTGTTAAGATTTAATATTTGATTGATCAACATATTCTCTTCAAGAATTTCAAAATCAACGTCAACACTTGTCACACCGTTGCTACAAAAAGTTTTATTGCAAACTTAAGGTTAAAAATCAAGTGTAAAGCTTAAAAAATATCTATTTAGTAGAACAACAGATCTCATCAATTCACCTTTGTTTAATATCTTCAATATTATCACTATAATGCGGCAACCAAAAAATTATCTCTTTCGTTTCACTACAACTGTCAGAACTCAAGGACGTCATGATGTGTTCGCATTCAGCTGTACATACTTAAGCCAAAATGCCCCAAGTTAGAATTTTTTTATTGAATGTTTTGTTGTTTTACATATTTAATGCTTGATATGATCTTTTTTATGAAGCAATTACTGAACCGATCTTTTACCTTTTTCTTACTTTTTAAACACGCCACAAAAAATATTTTCTTACTCAAGAAGTTTAATATTTGCAACACATAATGTTAGAAAATTCATCTACACTTTGTGAATCATTGAGTTTAGGAATCTCTGCAATTAGTATATTTTAAAATAATGAATACATACAATTCTTAACTTAAAGATACAAACATGCAATATTGCAAAAATATCCTTATTATGTATACATTAAAATTAACTAAGTATTATTGCTGGTACTAGAGAAAAGTATGTAAAAATATTTCAAAACGAATACATATAATATGAGATATAAGCTAAATATTTACAATATTCTCAAATATTTTTTAAAACTCTTCATTAAAGCACAATTTTTCTAAGAAATTTGAAGCAAAAACTTAGAATACATACTTTATCCAATCCTGATTTTGAAGAACACGCTCCACCAATTTTTATTCCTGTTTGATCAGGATCAGAAGATGTCTCTTTTGGAAGCGGATCACGTGGTTCTACATTAAAATTATAAAGAAAAATTATTACAGGTGCCAAAAATAAATTTAAAATACCAACAAAAAGAACTATTTCAAACAAAATACTAATATAATTTCATTCATCTCATATAGTTTTTAAATTATATTTTCACAAAAGTTAATAATGATATCTACGTATTATTTGTTCAGACTAAATAAACTCTTTGGTTAGTACAATCTTAAGAAATAAATTTGTGAAGTGGTTTTTCATCAATTAGCAACGAGAGTTTGTGGAAGTACAATAGCATTAAAAACTAAATTTTTTTAAGACTTTAAAAGCTCATCATCTGAAAAATGAACTTTAAGAATAACATTCATAGACCTCATAAATGAAGATGTGACTAAAAGCTGCATTAAGACGAGTCGATGTCGAGAGAAATATATTTATTACATCTCACGAATTCATTCGAAGCATTGGTAAACAACTGCAATAAACTAATAAGCAAATGAAGAGTGCACTTGTAAAAGAATTCAACAAATACAGTTTAATAGTTTAAAACTTAACGATTTCTTAAAAGTAGTATTAATATTACATAAAATATTGGGTGAACCCAAAGTCTTACCATGATTATAAAAATTTATTACAAAATAATTTAATATAAAATGTAACTTTTGTATCATTAGATAGCTCGAATTTAGTAGAGGTTTTTTTAAGTAAATGACGCGAATGCTCTTTCAAGAGTGTCTAAGAGGTACATTTGTAAGGAAGCAGTGGCGTAACGTACACCTCCGCATTGCGGGGGCCCAAAGCCTGACTGCCGCCAAGTAAAATCCAACTTGGGGGCCAAAACCTGACTTTGCAGGGGGGCCCAAATGTTCTCCGTTACGCCACTGTAAGGAAGATATAATTTTTTTGTCCTTTATGTTATATTTCAGACAACTTAATATATAATTTCCTGAAATACGCATAAATATTCAAATACATCAAAATTCAAATAAGCAATATAAATAGATTAAGGAAAAACTTACTTGGCATTAATTTATATTCGTTTTGATCACTTTTCACTATTTTAAGAATGGGTAATCTCTCCTGAGTCGAATCTGTACAGAAATATACTTCGATAAGAAAAAGCATTAAAAACATACATGATTCAATGTTAAAAAGCACTCCCGCATGGCTCATTTTCCCATAAGTCGATTTTATGAAAAAGTAGCATTTATAATAGACAAACGGAAGATAAATTGAGAATATCAGGAAAAACGAAGATAGCTTAAATCTAGTCCAGTGGTCTTTAAACTGTGTTCCACGGAACCCTGGGGTTCCACAAGTCACAATAACAAAATCGAAAAGAAACTTATAAATATGTATGCAAAATTGATTCACGTTCTCTATGAAGTTTGTATAATTAAAAGTATCTAAAATGTTCATCCCTTATTAATTAAAATTGAAAATTTTATTTACATATATTAACTTTATTTTGCAATTCTTTTTTAACTTTTATTTAAATATAAAATTAATATTATAAAACGTTTTATCTTTATATATATACTTCCTACTAGATAGTGAATATTCTATATTGTTTTTTTATACTCGTTAGTTAGCACAATGTCTTTCAAAACTAAATAGTTTTCTAACAGAAAATGCACCTTTTTGCATTTGTGGAAAAAAACACCTATAATGAAGAGATCTATCAACTATAATCAACAGATTCGATGTTAAAATCTAAATTTAAGCAAGCACAGTATTTCTCACACAGCTATAAATATTTTAATGCCATTCAGAACATTATGTGTAAGGGAATTATATTTCTTAACTGTGGCTACAAAAGCAAAATATAAAAATAGGTTAAACTCCGAATATGTAATACGATAGCATTTAATCTCAAAAGACCTAGACCGACAATTTGTGTGAAAAAAATGAAGCACATATCCCAGTTGCTAAATATAATGCCTGAGTAGGTGACACTTGGATCACAAATTAATATTATAAATGCGTAAATTATGTTTAAGAAATTAGATTAGAATTTTTTTAAATAATAAATACAATACTTATTTAAAATTGCCTTTACATAAATTATCCATAACATATGTGTTAATCTGCTTCAAATATTATTTTGAGATATATTCTTCTAAGTATCTAAGTGGAATGGGGTTCCATGAAAACTCTAGTTCTAGGGGTTCCACAAAAGCACCTACAAGATCTAGGGGATCCTTGAGTTGAAAAAGTTTGAAGACCACGGATCTAGTCCATCAAAGCAATGTGTTTTTTTTCATTAATTTATTACTTAAATAAATTTCCTTTAAAAAAATGAGAAAACCTTAAATATTCGACTTTCTAATTAAAACAGAAACTAAAATAAAGGCAAAATTGTTTTTAAAACAATCAGTATATATAAAAAAAATTTCAATTATGATTGTTCCAAGAAAAATACTAGCTATGTGGGAATGTTAAGAAATAGGACAAAAACTTGGACTATAGTACAAAAAAAAAAATAACGAAATGAGTTCGGTGCCTGCAAAATAATAGTAGACGTGAAAGCAATTTCTTCTTAACTAATTGTACTCGTATATTAAAATAAACTGATTATACATGAAATTTATTTATAATGCGGTATTATGAAGAAATGAATCTATATCAAACTAAAACACAAATCTATCAAACATATTTTCAAGGAGTTAAGACACTTAAACATAAAAAAAAGTTGAAAACAAATAATTAGATATTGCTTTACACAGACTAAATTTTTTAAGAGTAGAGATTTTAGAAGATAATAAGTTTTTGGCAATAAAGTAACAAAAATAAGTTTTTCTTTCCAATAAGGCTGTGGATTAGTAATTACCATTGCAGATCTAGTACATTTCCCTGGAGCTGGTATCACTTTTTAGTGTGGCACCATACAGGTGGAAATCAATTGCCACAACGTAATTTTGACACCCAGTTTCTCCCCAAAGAGAGGAACCTAAGATCTGATGATGGGAAACTGTTGCAGGAATTTAATTTTGCCGAGAGCCCTCAAGCCAAACAGGCACTCTAGGGATCTTTAACGTACCGCATAATCAAACGACATGGACGCTGTCGATTTTTTGCATCATGAAAGTACACTGACTTGGGCCGGGGTCGAACCCGTAAACCGGCGTACGAGGCCAGCACCAAACCCACTACGCCTCCCAGCCGGCGACGGGTAAGATTATCATAAAGAAACCCATAAACAACAAAGAATTATGCTTACAGCAAAATCTCAAACAATCAATTAATATATATATATATATATATATACGTTATCAACAGAACTAATCAGTAATTTTGATAGAGTTCCAGTAAAAAGTTTTTAAGCATCCAGATAATCAGTGATCAACTCCTAACCTACTTGTAGATGATAAATAGCACATAGTTATTGAATCTGAGCATTCAACAAAAGGTACATATTTAAGAAAACAATGCAAAAGAGAAAAGAATAGCCTGCATAGTTAATATTATTTAATAACAAATTTGAATCCTCAAGAAATTTGGAGAAACTTCTTGAATATTAGTATATATATTTCCTTTTGTTATTTAAGGAAAATTAAAAAATTACTCTTCATTCAACACATGATAAAAATTATTTCAGACAAATAATAAAAAAAACAAAAATTTTTTTTAAAGCCAATTCCTACTTAGGTCAACAAAGAAAAATATTATTTTAGTTACCTTTTATTAAATAATTACAATTAATATAAATATGTATATACATATGGCAGAATCACAATATTTAAGTGGCAAAATAGAAAGCGATTTTTCTTGCAATTTTCCATTTTCCTTTCTATGTATGGTATTGGACTATTATTTTTGTTTGTTAATACTTATTCATCAATTAAATTTAACTATCCCAATCAAATAGTATAGTAAAAAAAATCACACTCTCAGAAATTAGGCCATCCCAGATGGGATTCAAACCCATGACCTTTGGATTAAGAGTCCAACACGCTACCCATTGCGCTACAGGGGCACAACGAGCGACTTTCCTTTTTATATAATGTGTTGGACTATTATTTTTGTTTGTTACTAATTATTCATTAATTAATAAATTAATACTCTTGAAAAACTGTATTAACATCAAGTGTCCTTCATTACAAGTTTTAAAAAATGTATTTGAGCTTCAGTGAATGAATAGAAAGTATTTTTTTAAGGATTTAAAATTTGAAGATATATATATGTGTGTGTGTGTGTGTGTATGTGTGTGTGTGTGTAATAATTCCCTCAAGTATCCTTTTTATTAACTCTTTGTCCTAATATTTTTAAAATAACTTTACTTCTTTGGTTTAAAAATAACATTGTAATCTTAATCGTAATCGGCTAGTCCGAAATCCCTGTCCCGCCCATTCTATCCAATCAGAACTACTATTACGTAATAATCAATGCCGATATAAAAGCAAAAATCTTGTGTAATCGCGCCCTTTTTGTTTGCTTGCCTTCATTATGTAATCAGCCAGCTGCCGCGCGTTCAGTGTTTGTGCCATGATGTTTGCTTCTTGTTATGTGTAATGCCGTCCCTACTTGATCTCTATGTGTTTCAAGATGCAATAAACTGGATTAATGTCCCAGGCTGCCTATCTATAGTATTTAATACGTAACATCAACCAACATAAAAAATGTATCTAATATAGAGTCATTCGCACGCCATCGGCCACGCCCTACCTTTGATTCGCTACAGTAATAACATCCACTCGCCACGTCTTACAATTATTTTTACCACTCTCCAGGAATATTATAGAAGAATTACAATATATATATATATATATATATATATATATTTATAGGGGGGGGGTGCCGGCTGCTATTTCCAAGCCACACCACTAAACGTACTGCGTATGCCTAGGAGCGTTCTCAGTGTTTCGGGAGCCTGCCAGTTGTTAGACGCACTACGACGCTGAACCAGAGACGACGCCATGTTGTAAAAACGAGAAGAAAAGACGATAATGCCTCGTGTTTGTTATAAGACGATTTATATATTGAAGACGTGAAACATTAAATAATGAACTGAATGTAAATAGCATGTAAATAGTTACGAACAATTAAATTATAATTAATCAAAGACGACGGTTGTGCCATCACTGAACAGCCCTACTCACACACATATAAATATATATATATGTATATATATATACAAGGGTGAGGCAAAAATCATGGCAATTATTTTTTTTTCTTGAAGATACCAGCCCGGCTGGAAAATGTGACATATACAGACGAAAGTTCAAGGTGTTAACTACATGTGTGGACATTGGATAGCACTGAAATATCGTAAACCACAAATTTATTACGATAGTAGACAGGGCAATATGGCCTTCACGGTGCAAAAGAATGACAACACAGTATACATAAAGTTGACATGGCAAACCTGTCCCTAAAGACCTTTAATGTAGGCCATGAGCTGCTCAATGACGGCACGTGCCAAATCGGTCCGCACACTGACCGGTCGTCCCGAACTTTGCTCATCACTGGTTGACATACGTCCTTGCTGAAACTTTCCTATCCACCGTGCTACTGTACGGTATAATAGGACATTATTCCCAAGGGCTTCCACTAATTCACTGTGACATTCCATCTCATTTCTCTCTTGGAGAACAGCTATTTTGATGTAAGCGTGCGCACGGATGCAACACGGATTACTTCCATCTTGCACGACACTCATCACAACTGACTGATTTCACAGCCCTCACTGAGCTACTACTAGCTATCACAGAGCCATCTGATGTTCTGCATACTCACTATGTCTGCAGAACTTCTACACGACACATATACGTTTGTGATCCGTTCACATATTTACAAGGATAAAAATAGTTGCCATGACTTATGCCCCAACCCTCGTATATAGGAAGAGTGTGAACTAATAAAATAGTAGGAATTGAAAAAAGAATGGGGAGAGAGAGAAAGTTTTGAATAAAAAATCTGTGCATAGAATATTTTCAAGACAAAGTAAAAAGACACTGGTTTACATATTTAGAATTATTCTAAAATAACTTCAGTCTTATCCAAACACACACACAAATTCCAAAGTACAGTTCATATGTTCAAATACATAATTGAAAATGATGCTTCGTACCTGTTTGATCCACTTTCGAGGGACCTGGTGCAGATGACTCCAGTGATTCCGACGATCCCGATATACGAGAATGCATAAATCTAAGATGCTCTTGCTGTAAAAAGTAATACGTTTGTTGAAATTTAGCACGTAAATGGAAGGCAATTGAGGCGAAAACATTATTAACTCAATTATGTTTAGTCATTTCTTTTATTCACAAAGAACAACAAAAAGTATTACATAATTGCTGTTAACAATTAGATACAATTAACTATTTTGTCAAATTAGTTCTATTCACTAAAAAAATTACTATCTAATTACTATATAGTTCTAATTTCTAAGCAACTCTTAATTTTAAAATCTGAGCTTTTGAAAGATTTTACAACTTGTTCTTATATTCATGTCAAATCTTTAAAGATTTCGTTTTATTTAATTTAAAAGTAAAGTACACAGAATCCAAGAGGAACGAAATAGCATAGCAAAATCATGGAAAAAACAACACATCTTCCTGATCAATGAATAAATAAAAAAAATAGTATATACAAAATATTACTATTTAAACATTAATTATAGAAGAGCAATAATATATATAACAGAGAGGTATTAAGTATTTTTCATATTAAATACGTTGATTATGTTGTTTCTAATGCCACTTAATCAAGTAATGTCAGAATGAGGCCCACAAAATTCCTCGTGGTACGGGGTTAGTTTTTACGCCTGTCGTTGGCCACAGTTTTGAGCTCCATACAGGTGACATTACGATTTGGCTCGGTTCCACCTCCAATTTTTAGGGCGAGGACCCTGAAGGGTGGTCAGGAGCCTCCCACCAAGCTCTCGAGAGGACTTGCGGCTCAACGAATATTTAGAGTGCTCACACGACGCAAAGGCACTATACATTCACAAACATCCATGCCATCCATGGATTCAAACCCTCACCTTATGGCACAGCAGTCAGCGTCACTAACCACTATACCGAAAGGGCGGCTGCATTAATTAAACACACACGGTAAGTATTTTATGTAAGTTTTTGAAGTGATAACTTCTATTGGCGCGATTTGTCGGAGAGTAAGCTTGAATGAACGTCACGCTCGGAAATGTAACACTCCCTCGGCTTTTTTGTCTTCATTCGGACATAAACACCCCTGAAAAGGAAAGGAGGGACGTTTCCCCTGCCACTCTGAAACCGGTAGTTTGTCGCCCCACCAATAAAAGTAAAAGTAAAGTTCTCCTAGCTTCGATCTAAGGGGGATCCTGCCCCCCCCACACCTCTTTCTAGAGCAGAGGTGGCCAACCCAAATGACCTCGCGGACCACTTCGGAAAAACTTTGCAATCCCACGGGTCGCATATAAAAATATATATTTTTATATTAGATTTGGATCCATTACCAACATTTGTTGGAGTGAAAATTTAAAACAGACTGATATATTATTGTTTTCATTGTTTTTCATGTATACAAACATATATAGTATAATAATAATAATGCAATGGTCAAATAATGTTTAATTTATTTAATTAGTGAGATATCTGTTTCTCAACTCTTTCACTTAGTTTTTGCAAGTCGATCTCAATGCATGAATATTTGCGTATCGTAATTGATGTTGCAGATTTTCGTGCGTTAAGTTTGAGCACGATTTATGTTTGATAAATTTCAATTTAGAAAAAAGAAAGAGATTAGCAGGAACAGAAGCAGCATGATAAAATAATAACAGTTATGGGATTTATTTTTTACAGGAAAAAAAAACACTTTTTAAACAATATTATACAAAATAGTCGAATTTTGTAAAGTTGTAAAGAATCTCGTGGGTCGCAAAATTATTCAAGGCGGGCCGGGTTGGACACCCCTGTTCTAGGGGAATGAATGCGCGATTTTTTCTAATCCTAATTGAAGCATGAAAATGAAACGTAATAATTTTAAAAAAAGAAAGAGAAAAGAAAGAGAAAGAGAGGCTTCTATTAATCACATTACTTAAATACACTTTGAGTCTAAAAAAAAAATTAAAGCAATTAAAAATTTAAAATAACAAAATTAAGTATACAGGTATTAAGAAAAAGTTACATTAAATCATTTAAGTACAAGAAAACAAAATATAATTAAGATTTTCCTTGCAGCAGCACCGAATATATTTGTACAAAACTCCCATACAATGACAAAAGAGCTAGTATTAGCCAGAGATTATGTGATATCAATCTTCTGATTAAATCCCTTTTTAAAGGTTTTGACCTAGATTCCTCGCTTCCCAATCAACTACCTGTCATATTATCTATCCCTTTGCTTAAATTAATTCATGGATAGAATTAAATATTGTTAAATTACAACCAAAATTCACAAAGCCGGATCGGGTCTTCTGAACAAATTACCTATGATTTTAAGTGGGAATATTAAAGTAGAGTTTTCAAAAGACAAATCAAAACCTTTAATTGATTTTTTTAAAATCAAAATTCAGTTTAATTATGTCAAATGATCCAAATGAAGCACGAGGAAGTATGGAACAACGCTTGACGGAGTTTTTTTTTACAGATATTTAAATAAAATTTTGAATCTAAAGGATTTATAACCTATTTCTACTACCATAAACCTACTGCTTTCTTCTTAGAATACAATTATTTCCCAAATATGATTGTATATTTCATACAAAAATATTACTTTATGAGTACAGACATATGAATAAATAATTTTATAAGAGACAATACTAATATATCCCCTTGTGTTTTATTCATCTAACTAAACCCTGAAATAACATTACAAAATTTGAAGTTATCACTTCTATCGCGTGGTCATAAGCAAACACACTTTTTTTTATAATCCTTATAAATAAAAATGGGGGGGGGGACAAAATTTTCGACCAACAAACCATTAGCTGAGACGGAACTTAATCGTAAATGAGCAAGACTGTAAATAAATAATATTTGCTAATAGTTCATTTGT